ACATAATTGGTCGCATTCGGAGGTGATCGTTATGCGGGGGTCCACTGTACAGTGGACCCCCGGTTAACGATATTTTTTCACTCCAGAAGTATGTTCAGATCAGTGTCAGCGGATGGGTCTATGAAGGATGAGGTGAATCATAGAATTGATGAGGGGAAAGGGGTGAGCGGTGCACTTAGGAGTCTGGAGATAAAGAACTTTGTCCTTGGAGGCAAAGAGGGGAATGTATGAGAGTATAGTTTTACCAACGCTCTTATATGGGTGTGAAGCATGGGTGATGAATGTTGCAGCGAGAAGGCTGGAGGCAGTGGAGATGTCATGTCTGAGGGCAATGTGTGGTGTGAATATAATGCAGAGAATTTGTAGTTTGGAAGTTAGGAGGAGGTGCGGGATTACCAAAAACTGTTGCCAGAGGGCTGAGGATAGGGTTGTTGGAGGTTGGTTCGGACATGTAGAGAGAATGGAGCTAAACAGAATGACTTCAAGAGTGTATCAGTCTGTAGTGGGAGGAAGGCGGGGGTAGGGGTCGGCCTAGGAAAGGTTGGAGGGAGGGGGTAAAGGTGGTTTTGTGTGCGAGGGGCTTGGACTTCCAGCAGGCAGTGCGTGAGCGTGTTTGATAGGAGTGAATGGAGACAAATGGTTTTTTAATACTTGACGTGCTGTTGGAGTGTGAGCAAAGTAACATTTATGAAGGGGTTCAGGGAAACCGGCAGGCCGGACTTGAGTCCTGGAGATGGGAAGTACAGTGCCTGCACTCTGAAGGAGCGGTGTTTAATGTTGCAGTTTAAAAACTGTAGTGTATAAGCACCCTTCTGGCAAGACAGTGATGGAGTGAATGATGGTTGAAAGTTTTTCTTTTTCGGGCCACCCTGCCTTGGTGGGAATCGGCCAGTGTGATAATAAAAAAATAATAAGTATGTTCAGGTGCCAGTACTGAACGAGTTTGTTCCCATAAGGAATATTGTGAATCAGATTAGTCCATTTCAGACCCCAAACATACACGTACAAACGCACATACATAAATACACTTACATAAACTGGTCGCATTGGGAGGTGATCGTAAAGGGGGGTCACCTGTATTACGTTACTTCCTAATACAGGAAAGCTCCGCTCTACAGCATTTCGCTAATACGACATTTTCAATTATTGCCTTTCTTCGTTTATTCTAGATGATCTACAATAAATATATTCACCACTCATTATAGTTAAGGACGGACAATATTTTAAGATATGTAAGTGTTGGTTGTACTGTATAAGTTATTTTTTATTGCCCGGCTTGGTTGCTCACTTCCCCTCAAGGGAGTTCTTGATGTTGTGAGGGGCTCTTGATTTAGGGAATTGGATCTGTGCCCGTTTCCCAAATTAGCCTGAATGCTTCCACATCCCACCCCCTAGGCGCTGGCTATAATCCTCCGGGTTTAGAGCTTCCCCTTGATCGTAATAATATATTGCTCACTTCATATATGATAGTGTAAATAGGCTTTCTATATGCATTTGAAAGTGAGAAAAGAATGAAGAAGAAGTATGATTCACTTAGTGATTTTTTTTGCTTTTTACAGCAGTAGGCCTAGATACCTAACTTGCTGTATAGTGGGGCCCATACAGTAGTTCCCTAGAACCTAAACCTGCTGTTTTAGAAGTGGGGCACTACCAGTAGCTGAACACCTTACCTGCTGTTAGAGTGGGGCCCCTACCTACAGTAGCCCTAGAATCCTTAACCTGCTGTATAGTGGAGGCCCTACTGTGCCAGGACCTTACCTGCGCCCCTGCCTGCTGTATAGTGGGGCCCTTCAGTAAGCTAGATAATACTACTTAATACCTGCTGTATAGTGGGGCCCTCAGTAGCCTAGAACCACTAATACCTGCTGTATAGTGGGGCTCTACAGTAGCCTAGAACCTAACCTGCTGTATAGTGGGGTCCTACCCTACAGTAGCCTAGAACCTAACCTGCTGTATAGTGGGGCCACTACTGTTAGCCTAGAAGACACCTAAAACCTGCTGTATAGTGGGGCCCTTTACAGTAGCCTAGAACCCTAACATGCTGTATAGTGGGGCCCTACATGTAGCCACTGAACCTAAATAAAACAACTGCTGTATAGTGGGCCATACGTAGCCTTAGAACCTAACCTGCTGTATGTGGGGCCCTGACAGTAGCCTTGACCATAACCTGCTGTATGTGGGGCCTACAGTAGGCCTAGATCTAACCTGCTGTATAGTTGGCGGGCCCTACAGTAGCCTAGAACCTAACCTGCTGTTAGTGGGGCCCTACAGTTAGCCTAGAACCTCAACTGCTGTATAGTGGGGCACTACAGTAGCTAGAACTAACACTGCTGTATAGTGGGGCCCTACAGTAGCCTTGAAACTAACCTGCTGTTATAGTGGGGTCCTACAGTAGCCTAGAACCTACTGCTTGTATAGTGGGGCATACAGGTTAGCTAGAACCTAACATGCTGTATAGTGGGGCCCTACAGTAGCCTAGAACCTAAACTGCTGTATAGTGGGGGCGGCCCTACAGTAGCCTAGGACCCTAACCTGATGTATTAGTGTGGCCCCAACAGTAGCCTAAACATAAACCTGCTGTATGAGTGGAGGGCCCTACAGTAGCCTAAAGAAACCTAATGACTGTATAGTGGGCCCTACAGTAGCCTAGAACCTAACCTGCTGTTAGTTGGGGGTCCTACAGTAGCCTTGAACATAACCTGCTGTATAAGTGGGGCCCTATACAGTAGCTAGAACCTAACCGGCTGTATAGTGGGGCCCTACAGTAGACTAGGAACCTAAACCTGCTGTTTAGTGGGGCCCTACAGTAGCTAGAAACCTAACCTGCTGTATAGTGGGGCCCTACGTTGCCAGAAACCCTAACCTGCTGTATCAGTCGGGGCCCTAAGTAGCCTAGAAACCTTAAACTGCTGTATAGTGGGGCCCTTACAGTAGCCTAGACCTACCTGCTGAATAGTGGGGCCATAAGTAGCTCGAACCTAACTGCTGTATTAGTTGGGGCTCTTACAGTAGCCTAGAACCTAACAACCCTCTGTATAGTGGGGCCTACAGTAGCCTTGAACCTAACCTGCCTGTATAGTGGGGTCCTAAGTAGCCTAGAACCTAACCTGGCTGTATAGAATTTATTTTAAAAAAAATTTACAAAATGGGGCCCTACAGTACCGCTAGAAACCTAACCTGCTGTTAGTGGGGCCCTACAGTAGCCTAGAACCTAACCTGCTGTATAGTGGGGCCCTACAGTAGCCTAGAACCTAACCTGCTGTATAGTGGGGCCCTACAGTAGCCTAGAACCTAACCTGCTGTATAGTGGGGCCCTACAGTAGCCTAGAACCTAACCTGCTGTATAGTGGGGCCCTACAGTAGCCTAGAACTTTACCTGTGTATAGTGGGCCCTACAGTAGCTAGAAACTAACCTGCTGTATAGTGGGCCATACAGTAGCCTAGGCCGACTTAACCTGCTGTATAGTGGGGCCCTACAGTAGCCTAGAACCTAACCTGCTGTATAATGGGGCCCTACAGTAGCCTAGAACCTAACCTGCTGTATAGTGGGGCCCTACAGTAGCCTAGAACTTTACCTGCTGTACAGTGGGGCCCTACAGTAAGCCATAGAACCTACCTGCTGTATAGTGGGGCCCTACAGTAGCCTAGAACTTAACCTGCTGTATAGTGGGGCCCTACAGTAGCCTAGAACCTAACCTGCTGTATAGTGGGGCTCTACAGTAGCCTAGAACCTAACCTGCTGTATAGTGGGGCCCTACAGTAGCCTAGAACCTAACCTGCTGTATAGTGGGGCCCTACAGTTAGCCTAGACCTAACCGGTGTATTGTGGGAGCCCTAATGTGCAGAAACCTAAATCCTTGCTGTATAGTGGGGACCTACAAATAAGCCTAGAACTAACCTTGCTGTATAGTTGGTGGCCCTACAGTAGCCTAGAACTTAACCTGATGTATTGTGGGGGCTCTAGTAGCTTGAACCTAACCTGCTGTATAGTGGGGTCATACCCTACAGTAGCCCTAGAACCTAACTGCTGTAGAGTGGGGGCCCTATCAGTAGCCCAAACCTATAACTGCTGCTACAGTGGGGGCCCTTAACAGTAGCCAGAACCTAAACATGCTGTATAGTTGGGGGCCCTACAGTAGCCTGAATTAACTGGCTGTATAGTGGGGCCATCAGTAGCCCAGAACACTTACTTGCTGTACAGTGGGGCCCTACACTGTAGCCCAGAACCCTAACCTGCTGTACAGTGGGGCATACAGTAAGCCTAGAAACCTTACCTGCTGTACAGTGGGGCCTTACTGTAGCCAGAACCCTAATCCTGCTCTATGTTACAGTGGGGCCTATAGTAGCCTGAACCTTAACCTGCTGTACAGTGCGGGGCGCCCTACAGTAGCCCAGAACCTAACTGCTGTACAAGTGGAGGCCCCTACGTAGCCTAGAATCCTAACCTGCAGTACAGTGGGGCCTAACATTAGCCCAGAACCTAACCTGCTGTACAGTGGGGCCCTACAGTAGCCTAGAACCTAACCTGCTGTACAGTGGGGCCCTACAGTAGCCCAGAACCTAACCTGCTGTACAGTGGGGCCCTACAGTAGCCTAGAAACCTAACCTGACTGTTAACAGTCGGGGCCCTACAGTAGCCCAGAAAACTAACCTGCTGTACAAGTGGGGCCCTACAGTAGCCAGAAACCTAACCTGCTGTACAGTGGAGGCCCTACAGTAGCCAGAACCTAACCTGCTGTACAGGGGGACCTACAGTAGCCCAGAAACTAACTTGCTGTTATTTGTTGGGCCCTACAGTAGCCTGGAACTTAACCTGCTGTATAGTGGGGCCCTACAGTAGCCCAGAACCTAACTTGCTGTACAGTGGGGCCCTACAGTAGCCCAGAACCTAACCTGCTGTACAGTGGGGCCCTATAGTAGCCTAGAAGCCTAACCTGCTGTACAGTGGGGCCTTACAGTAGCCAGAAACCCTTACTGATGTACAGTGGGGCCTACAGTAGCCTAGAACCTAACCTGCCCTGTACAGTGGGGCCCTACAGTAGCCCAGAACCTAACCTGCTGTACAGTGGGGCCCTATAGTAGCCTAGAACCTAACCTGCTGTACAGTGGGGCCCTACAGTAGCCCAGAACCTAACCTGCTGTACATTATTATTATTATTATAATCAAGGGGGAAGCCGCTTACAACCCAGGAGGATTATCACAGCGCCTTGGGGGGGGGGGAGGTTTGTGGAAGGCATCAGGCTTAATTCGGGGAACTGGAGCACAGATCCAATTCTAAATCAAGAGCCACTCACCATACATCAAGGACCTTCCTTGAGCGCGGAACTCCTGCTGTACAGTGGGGCCCTACAGTTAGCCCAGAACTAACCTGTCTCGTACAGTGGGGCCTACAGTAGCTAGACCTACCTGCTGTACAGTGGGGCCCTACGTAGCCCACGAAACCTAAAAAAAAAAACTGCTGTACAGTGGGGCCTATAGTAGCCTAGACCTAACCTGCTGTACTAGTGGGGGGGGCCCCTACGTATAGCCCAGATCCTAACCTGCTGTACAGTGGGGCGGCCCTACTGTAGCCCTAGAACCTAACCTGGCTGTACGTGGGGCCCTACAGTAGCAGAAAACCTAACCTGCTGTACAGTGGGGCCCTACAGTAGCCCAGAACCTAACCTGCTGTACAGTGGGGCCCTACAGTAGCCTAGAACCTAACCTGCTGTACAGTGGGGCCCTACAGTAGCCAGATACCTAAACCTGCATGTTTACAGTGGGGCCTACAAAGGTAGCTTAGAACCTAACCTGCTGTACAGTGGGGCCCTACAGTAGCCCAGAACCTAACCTGCTGTACAGTGGGGCCCTACAGTAGCCCAGAACCTAACCTGCTGTACAGTGGGGCCCTACAGTAGCCCAGAACCTAACCTGCTGCATAATGGGGCCTTCCTGTATTCTTCAGTTCGTGTATTTTAACACTTTTTCAGGAACATAATCTGTACATTATCCGAGGGTTTAAATATATGAATCACCAGATACTTGTGAGATAATCAACAAAGAAAAAGGTACAAGATTAGTGTTGTATTAGGGACATAACCTTGCACTACATCTTCAACGTGGACAAAATCAGGCAACCGACTTATTACTTACTTGAAAGCTGAAATGTGTATGGGATAAAATGTAGAAACATGTGTCATAAGCTTTTTCTACATGAAAAAAAGACAGCAATAATCAAATGGCTGTCCTTGAAGGCATTTCGTGTACATTTATCAAGTAAAGAGTAGACCGTCGATGGTAAAGTGAACCTTTCCAAAACCAAATTAATGAAGATTTTTGGGTCTCTTAAATACCAATGATGCATTTATTGATTTATATTTTCTAACAACTTACAAATAGTGATGGTAAGAGATATGAATCTATAATCTATATGATAGTGAGTCTTGTCCTAAGGTACCTGGGTTACAAAATGGTAGGAGAACTACTGCAGTTTTTCCCTCTCTGGACAAAACACCTTTGGACCCTACTGTACCTAGTTGAAGTGTACGAGGAAGACAAATGCTGTGGGATGTAAAAGTTAGAGCATGTGAACACGTACAGTGTGTCATCAGGAACAGTGCTACCTGCATCATCAAGGATTCTGCCAGCATAATCTTATTCTCACCTGACACTTCCAATAAGAATCCATTTTTATATTTGGTGGGTATGGAAACCCACCATCACAAACACACCAATAAATGATTATGCTAGTACAGATGCCTCTTGTGAATCCTTTTCCTCTCTTACTAGGGGATGGATTTCCAAAAGGGGAAATATCCCCACTAATGAGACACAACGATCATTTATAATAAATGTATTTGAAGTGATCGAGGTCCCAGGACCAACAGGTTTTCATTAAATAAAGGTCGTATACATTTGTGTCATTACCTTAAAGTTGTCAGCATTTCTTGCCGTTCTTACTACAAGAAGGTTTTCTCGTTAAAAAAGCACCAACTTTTTAAATGACGAAAGGTCTTAAGGGAGAGAGAAGTGACCAAGTGATTGGTGGGTATTAGAATTTGATCCACTTAAGGAGGGACAATACCTCTGTTCTTTAGTTAGAACCCCAAGGAAACTACCCTCCTCCCCACCTTTTCTCCCCTGAAAGATTCTGTAATAGAGTAGCTCTTTACTTGAGGCTTATTGGACTTTTGTTTATTTCAAATACAGGTGGGAACTCTTCCCCCTCTATAGCATAACGATAGCTCACAAACTCGAACAAATTTTTGTAAGTGTATTTTGTATGTGCTGTTGTATGGTGTATGTATGGGGGTCTGAAACGGGATTAATCTAATTCACAATATATCTTATGGGAAAACAATTCGGGTTATAACGGCACCCAACCAGACTTCTGGATTGAAATAATATCGTTGTCCGGGGGTCCCACTGTAAAATAAAAAATTTAATTTTAAATTAATACCATAGGTGTGTAATACAAATTTTGTTCTATTTTAAAACGACCATAAAATGATTAGCTTCTGCTTCAAAATACGTTTATCGTTGTGTAAGAGTGACACAAAGGTTGTACAAGTGCGGGAATACTCGTCTTCATCGGAAGATAAACTTCTTCGCCTTACTCGCTGTTCGTGAATTTTGGCGACCGGGTATACAAACTGCTTGTTACATCATCCTTCACTCTGCAAGATGTAAATACAACACTTTAACATCAAAAATTAAAGAATACCTGAATAGTCAAAATCTTTCTTTTTTTTTTAATGGAATAATACTAAATATCAAGACAGCAATAAAAATAAATAAGCTCATTATTTGAGTAAATTTAAGTTTCATGACAGTCAATACAAAACCTAGCAAATTAAATCACTTAATCTATAAGGAAAAATCATTTTTATTTTATTTATTTATTTTTTTTTTTTTGGAGGGGGGGTACTCTGTGGACAAGTTTCAGATCTGGGAGTCTGGACCCTCAGAGGGATTAAAATCAAATGAGGAAACAACATATAAAATATGGAATGGGTGGGGTTTGAACCCATAGCAAGTGAGTCTTAAAACCCCAGGTCAGTGCAAAAATTACATACAGTAGGCATCATAAATATGCATGTGCATTAATAAGCTTTTTTTTTATCAGACTACATACTTGCCTGACAGTTTCAAGAAGTGCCAAGGCAACTTTTGTGAGTCCCCGGCATGGGCGTTGGTATGTGGGATTTTATTGGCGAGATTAGATCCTATGGTTGAGAAGAAGTTGTTTATCTTGTTAGCTGTATCAGTGGGATGCAGTGGTGTATTCCCATTCCCCAATATAGTTTAAATGTATTCCCTATATTCATCACTAAAGCAAGTGGTGGAAGATGGCACTTTTTGCCATACTGCCAAAACATAATGAAATGGCTAAATGATTATGATTTACCATACTTTAAGGGGGGTCTGGAAACTCAAGGCACCTTAAATACAATGAAGAACATTGGAACCTTATCTAAATGTCAGCAATCGTGCATGGATGTATTCTCTATTCTCTTGAGTGTCAGTAAGCAGGTGTGAGAGGGTACTGTCTCTTCTATATTTTACATAAGTTGGCCTTATCAGTGCCTATGGGATTCAAGGAATGCATCAAGAGGGAGGGCAATCCTACAAAATATAGTTTTAGTTGAGGAAACCATACTTATTTCGTACAGGAGGTGCCCACTATACAAGCAGGTTAGGTTCCAGGCTACTGTTGGGCCCAGCTTATACTGCTGGTTTAGGTTCCAGGCTACTGTAGGGCCTAGCTTTAAGCAGAGTTAGGTTTCAGGCTACTGTAGGGCCCAACTTTTAAAGCAGTTAAGGTTCCATAGGTACGGGAGTGCCCAGCTTTTACAGCAGGTTAGGTTCCAGGACCCTGTAGGGCCCAGCTTATACAGCAGGTTAGGTTCCAGGCTTCTGTTAGGGCCCCCAGCTTATACAGCAGGTTAGGTTTCAGTCTAACTGTAGGGCCCAGCTTATACAGCAGGTTAGGTGTTCAGGCTACTGTTAGGCCCAGCTTATACGCAGGTTAGTTTCAGGCTACTGTAGGGCCCAGCTTATACAGCAGGTAGGTTCCAGGCTACTGTAGGGCCTCAGCTTATACAACAGTTAGGTTCCAGGTACTGTAGGGCCCAGCTTATACAGCAGGTTAGGTTTCAGGTACTGTGAGGGCCCAGCTTATACCAGCAGGTTAGGTTCAGGCTACTGTATGGCCCAGGATTATACAGCAGGTTAGGTTCCAGGCTACTGGAGGGCCCAGCTTATCAGCAGGTTAGGTTTCCAGGCTACTGTAGGGCCCAGCTTTCAGCAGGTTAGGTTCCAGGCTACTGTTACGGGCGCCACTGCTTATACAGCAGGTTAGGTTTCCGGGCTTTGTAGGAACCAGCTTATACAGCAGGATTAGGTTCCAGGCTTACTGTAGGGCAGCTTATCAGCAGGTTAGGTTCCTGGCTACTGTAGGGCCCAGCTTATACAAGCAGGTTAGAGTTCCAGGCTATCGTATGGGGCCCAGCTATACAGAGGTTAGGTCCAGGTTTAATGTAGGCCCCAGCTTATATACAGCAGGTTAGGTTCCGGCTACTGTAGGGCCCAGCTTACACAGAAGGTTTTAAGTTCCAGGCTTACTGTAGGGCCCAGCTTATTACAGCAGGTTAGGTTCCAGGCTCTGTATGGTGCCCAGCTTATACAGCAGGTTAGGTTCCAGGCTACTGTATGGGGCCCTGCTTATTCAGCTGGTTAGGTTCCAGGGATACTGTAGGGCCAGCTTATACAGCAAGGTTAGGTTCCTGGGCTACTGTAGGCCCAGGGGCCTTATACAGCCAGGTTTAGGTTCCAGGCTACTTGTAGGGCCCAGCTTATACAGAAGGTTAGGTTCCAGGCTTACTGTAGGGCCAGCTTATAAGCAGGTTAGGTTCCAGGCTTACTGTATGGCCCAGACTTTATACAGCACGGTTGGTTCCAGGCTACTGTAGCGGCCCAGCTTATTCAGCAAGGTTAGGTTTCCAGGCTACTGTAGGGCCCAGCTTATACAGCAGGTTAGGTTCCAGGCTACTGTAGGGCCCAGCTTATACAGCAGGTTAGGTTCCAGGCTACTGTAGGGCCCAGCTTATACAGCAGGTTAGGGTTCCATGGCTACTGTAGGGCCCAGCTTACAACAGCAGGTTAGGTTCCAGGCTACTGTAGGGCCCAGCATATACAGCAGGTTAGGTTCCGGCTCTGTTAGGGCCCAGCTTATACAGCATGGTTAGGTTCCAGGCTATGTAGGTGCCCAGCATTACACAGCAAGGTTAGGTTCAGGCTTACTGTAGGGCCAGACTTATACAAGCAGATTAGCGTTCCAGGCTACTGTACAGGCCAGCTTATCCAGCAGGTTAGGTTCCTGCTACTGTAGGGCCCAGCTTATACAGCAGGTTAGGTTCCCAGGCTACGTAGGGCCAGCTTATACAGCAGGTTAGGTTCCAGGGGCTACTGTAGGGCCCAGTTATACAGCAGGTTAGGGTTCCAGGCTACTGTACAGAGGCCTGCTTATCCAGCAGGTTTGGTTCCCAGGCTACAGTAAGCCCAGCTTATACAGACAGGTTAGGTTCCAGGCTACTGTTATAGGGCCCAGCTTATACGCAGGTTAGGCTTCAGGCTACTGTAGGGCTCCAGCTTATCCTAGCAGGTTAGGCTTCCAGGCTACTGTAGGGCCCAGATTTTATCAGCAAGGGTTAGGTTCCAGGCTACTGTAGGGCCCAGCTTATACAGCAGGTTAAGTTCCAGGCTACTGTAGGGCCCAGCTTATCCAGCAGGTTAGGTTCCAGGCTACTGTAGGGCCAGTTATACAGGCAGGTCTAGGTTCCAGGCTACTGTAACAGGGCCCCAGCTTATACAGCAGGCTTAGGTTCCAGGCTACTGTACAGGGCCCAGCTTATACAGCAGGTTAGGTTCCAGGCTACTGTAGGGCCCAGCTTATACAGCAGGTTAGGTTCCAGGCTACTGTAGGGCCCAGCTTATACAGCAGGTTAGGTTCCAGGCTACTGTAGGGCCCAGCTTATACAGCAGGTTAGGTTCCAGGCTACTGTAGGGCCCAGCTTATACAGCAGGTTAGGTTCCAGGCTACTGTAGGGCCTAGCTTATACAGCAGGTTAGGTTCCGGCTACTGGTTTAGGGCCCAGCTTATACAGCAGGTTAGGTTCCAGGCTACTGTATGGCCCTGCTTATACAGAGGTTAGGTTCCAGGCTTACTGTAGGGCCAGCTTATACAGCAGGTTAAGTTCCATGCCTACTAGTACGGGCCCAGCTTTTATTACAGCAGGTTAAGTTCCAGGCTACTGTAGGGCCCAGCTTATACAGCAGGTTAAGTTCCAGGCTACTGTAGGGCCCAGCTTATACAGCAGGTTAAGTTCCAGGCTACTGTAGGGCCAGCTTATACAGGAAGGTTAAGTTCACGGCTATGTTGGGCCAGCTTATACAGCAGGTTAAGTTCAGGGTCTACTGTAGGGCCCAGCTTATACGCAGGTTTAAGTTCCAGGCTACTGTAGGGCCCTAGCTTATACAGGAGGTTAAGTTCCGGCAAATGTAGGCCACAGCTTATACAGCAGGTTAAGTTCCAGGCTACTGTAGGGCCCAGCTTATACAGCAGGTTAAGTTCCAGGCTACTGTAGGGCCCAGCTTATACAGCAGGTTAAGTTCCAGACTTCTGCTGCAAAGCAAAAATTGCTGTAAAGTGAAACAGCCTTTTTTTTTCTCTTTTAAATGCATATAAAAGCCTGATAACATGTTAACACTATCATAAACAAGTGAGCAACAGAGCTAGGTCTAAAAATACATATACAGTACACACGTTACTTACATTAAAATATTTTTGTCCTTAGCTTCTAGTGCGTGATGAATATATTTATTGTAGGAAGTTTGAATAAATGAAGAATGGGTATAACTGTAAACCACTGCATTAGTGAAATGCCATAAAGCAGAGTGCTGTAAAGTGGGGCTGCCTGTACTGTATTTCTAAAACTATGGTTTACAGCAAGAGGTCTTTCTCTCTGTGATCTGTTCATGAGAGTGTATATACACCTACCATCCGACTTACGACCTGCTCGACTTACGACCACTCAACTTATGACCGTGTTTTTTATGCCAAATTTCTGGGAAATAAACAACTATTTGTGTTGTACACAGTGTTTATCCTAAACCTTACAGTAAAAAATACAGTAGTAACAGCATAAAAAGTAAAGTAAAACCTGAAATACCAAAATAAAACAATAAAATAAAGTCATTACAAAAATGTTTTGTTGATATTCAGTAGTAAAGTTCGACTTACGACCATTTCAACTTACGACCGGTTTCTCGGAACCGAACTCGGTCGTAAGTCGGATGGTAGGTGTATATGAAGTCTACTGTACATCATAGGAGAGATCCCAGACATGAGATTAACTTTGTCATCTTTTCCTGTATGGTCTACACAGAATACAGTAACTGCATTTCTTTTTTTTTTTCAACAAACTGGCCATATCCCACTGAGGCAGGGTGACCTAAAAAGAAAAAACAAATGTTTTTCTTTTTAAATTTAGTAATTTATACAGGAGAAGGGGTTACTAGCCCCTTGCTACCGGCATTTTAGTCCCCTTGTACTACAAGCATAGTTTACGAAGGAAGAAAGTAACTGTACATATATCCTTTAAATATCAACCTTAAAAATCATATAAAGGACAACTAATCAGCTGAAATTTGCAATAATTTACCTTTCATCTTCTTATTGTATCTCTTCTGTTTATTTGCTTCTTTCTGATGATCCTTTTTCTCCAAGGCTTCTTCTAGTGCTTCCTCAGATCCCCACACCTCAAGCGCTCGCTTTTCGACCTGTGAATAATAATTACAGATCACATTCACCGTTCTAAAACCTCTGAAGCATTCCAATACTGCTGTCAAGAAAGAAGAAAAAGCCACAATACCTTTCGTCACTTAACAACGGACTTCTGTTCCTAAGACCACATTGGTAAATGAATTTGTCGCTAAGTGAGGAGCATACTACAATGGTAATGGGTTTGTGTAAACCATCTTTAATATTGTTTTAATGTCACCTTTGCACCATTTATAACATTTACTAAATGTAAAAAGAAAAAAGAAAGTTTTTATTTTTAGGTCGCCCTGCCTTGGTGGGAGACAGCCAGTTCACTGAAAAATACAGTGGACCCCCGCTTTACGATCACCTCCCAATGCGACCAATTATGTAAGTGTGTTTACGCGTGTATGTTTGGGGGTCTGAAATGGACTAATCTAATTCACAATATTCCTTATGGGAACAAATTCGTTCAGTAATGGCACCTGAACATACTTCTGGAATGAAATAATATCATAATAAGATGGATATGAAACCTCATAGATGCTCACCTGAAGTTTCAGATACAGCTTCATGTCACCCCATCGAGAATTATGGGGATTTTTCCTCACAATAAACTTCAGTGGTGGTTTTCGCTTTTCAAAATCCACATCCTTGAGTAGGTACTCGTTTCTGGCATCAGTCTTGGTGATCAGACAATGCTTGTCATCTTTATCTCTGAAAATATGGCACCAATTAATGCCTTACTTAACATTTCTTTAAAAATGATCTTAGTGTATGCAAAACAGGAAGCCACCAGGATTATCACAATCTTAAATTCCTTTATTTAAAATGTCTAAATGCACTAAATATTGATGATGTACACACTACTGTTTGCTCCACATGTTTCAAAACACTAATGTAAAGCTGATGGTGACCTAAGATGAGTCCTGTAAAACACACGAGCATCACACTTTAAACAAATACGTACAGGAGAGCCCTGGATATACAGCACCTCTTTCTGGTGTTCACATTTTTGTTGGCTTTTAATTAAGCCATTTTTCATTATGTTCGGTGCTTTTTACCACTTTCTGCCATTTTCAATCACATAAAAAGGGTGCATAATTTTGAAGATTAAAGGTGGACCCGCTTTATATTTTAAGAGTATTTTAGTGCTATAGTACCCATGGTATTTAATTTTATCATTTTTAATTTAATTTTTTGGTCCATTGGGAGCTGTTACAAAAGGGCCATTTAAATTTTATTTTTTTTTTAGTTTTATCCCTAGTTGTACTGAGCACTTAATATATGATAGTGTAAACACGTTATTAGACGTTTTAGATGTATTCAATTATGAAAAACTGCTCTTTCCCACCAGTGGTAATTTTCATTCAACGTACCTTTTTTTTTTTTTTTTAACAAGTCGGGCCGTCTCCCACCGAGGCAGGGGGACCCAAAAAAGAAAGAAAATCCCCAAAGAGAAAATGCTTTATCATCATTCAATTACCTGTACCTCTTTATATTCCTCAAGTTTACTTGACCCACTACAGAAACTCAGTAACAAATAAGACAGGGCCAAAAATATGGCAATAGCTTGCCAGATGAATTAAAAAACTGTAACATGATAACTTCAAACACTTAAAAAAAAATTTGGATAGTTTCCTTAAACAATTCTAATGTACAGTAGCTCCTTAAATTGCCATTAAACTTTTACTTCTAAGTTTTAAATTACACCCTTTTTCTCAATTTTTTTTTAAATGTTTAATATCTACATTATTATGACATCCTTTCTTCCTTATCTGTTTTTTAATTCTCTTGAAGTTAAATTTTATTTACAAATTAATTTTAATTTACTTGGTACTGTTTCACTACCATGCCTTTTTCACAACCCCCATTGACCTCCAATTATCATGTAATTTTATTATATTACATGTGTTTACAAATATAGTAATTTTATATACTTATGCTTTACCACCATTATTTAATCACTATGCTCTTTTACAAAAAAAATTTCTTGGATATCACAATTAAAATAATACAGTCGGACCCCCACATGATCACCTTCCGAATGCGACCAATTATGTAAGTGTATTTATGTAAGTGCGTTTTTACGTATATGTTTGGGGGTCTGAAATGGACTAATCTACTTCACAATATTCCCTTATGGGAACAAATTCGGTCAGTACTGGCACCTGAACATTTCTTCTGGAGTGAAAAAATATCGTTAACCGGGGGTCCACTGTATACTGAAGTGCGTCATCCCCACACCACCGTCAGAGTGCAGACACTGTTCTTCCCACCTCTAAAAAATAAGTCCAGTTAACCGGCTTCCCTGAATACTTTCATTAATGTTACTTGGTTCATAATTAAAGTGTGGAGTGGGGCTAAAAAAATTTTTTTAACACATCAGTCGTTTCCCACTGAAGTAGCATGACCCAAAAGAGAAGAAAACACTTTCACCATCACTCATTCCATCACTGTCTTACCAGAGGCAAGATATTATCAAAAAACTACTATGAAGGCTACAGTATACCTGGAGAGGGTTTCGGGGGTCAATGCCCCCACAGGGTCGGTCTGAGACCAGGCCTAGTAGTGGTGAATCAAGGTCTGATCAACCAGGCTGTTACTGCTGGCCGCACACAAAACTGACGTACAAACCACAGCCCGGCTGGTCAGGTACTGACTTTATGTAGCTGTCCAGTGCCTTCTTGAAGACAGCCAGGGGTCTATACAGTAATGCCACATAAATAACAGAAGGAAGTCCGTTTGATACTGTACCTGAAATAATTCTTGCTGTAGCTGATATTCTTACCTACATTGGTCACATGTTGGTGATCAAGTTTTAAAAAGGGAAAAGGCACAAATGGGGGAAAAACAC